CCAGTTTGTTATGTTATCCATTCCCTATTTCATGATTTTTTGTGTGTCAAGACTGTGAGCTGTATGACTACAGGAACCTCAGGATAGGTTAGGGGTTCAACAATCTATCCCCTGACCTTATTTGTACTTATTTTTTATAGAATAAATGAATTCATTGCAAACTAATACACTCACATGTGTGGACCAGAGGCCAAATATCCAGATTTTTCTCTTAGTAGTGCCTATACTATACACAAAATACGATAACAACATACATGAGATACTCCCAAGCCGCTCAGAACCAAAAGAAACTTCAGCAGAGGCAGTACACAAATATCATTCATAGGAACTCCTTCCACGCAGAATTGCCAGAAAATTCCCTAAGTCAATTGCTGACAGAAAATGCCAAAACTTTTCAAATTTTCATACATTAAATATTACATTTAAAGAAAAGTACAAATTTCCCCAACTCCTTGTATGGGATACTACATATATCATTTCAACTTTGGGGGATTATTCAGGGTCACAATCACGACTATCTTATTTTGCTATTCTTTTCTAAGCACTTCTTAGAGAAGAAGTTACACGAAGGCTATATGGTTATAGGAATGTTTACAACTTAACCAGCTTTGGCAAACACGTTTCATTTCATCTGCCAGCTCTGCCTGTGCGGTGGTAGCAGCTACCCAGGACACACTGCTGGAGAAAGGGAGGGCATGAACGAACGATGTCTGCTATGGAAACAGCACTGGGGAGTGGCGGTCCCAACGCTGTAGATGTGCCATATTAATCCTGCCCTAAAATATCCCCCAAGACTCCTCTACCTTTGCATTTCACCGTGACTTTCCTTTTGTTTCTTTGTTGGTTCTGAGCAGATCAATGCATGTGTCTCCAGCAACATTCCAGCTTGTCACCTGTGGCAGGCTAGGAGAGCAGACAAACCTGCTGAAAGCTGCATGAAATCTATTTCTGATGTGAGTTAATGTGGTAAAGGGTCCTCTTCCGTGAAAATGTATTGGGGCTCCGAGATGGGTATTGTCATGTGTTCAGAGGCTTCTCACGACTCGATCTGGGCTCACGACAGTGCTGGCTGGTGGAGACGACCACACGTGTGACCACCACAGAAACATGGGGTTTGTTCAAAAGCTAACAAAAGTTTGGTACATTACAGAAGGTCTTACAGAAACCAACAAGGAGAGCGTGCACACTGGATTATCAAATCATAATACATCTGTCACATGGAAACTTACGTTTCTGCTCTTTATTTCTTCTGACAGTAATTTTAATTCTTCGGTTAGCCTATTTTTCTCTCCATCAGATTCTTCTTTCAGCTCCTTTGTTTTCTGCACCATCTCGTGCATTTCCTGCTGCAGCTCAGTCTCCTTGGCAGTCATTGTGTTTACCTGAAATGTAATCTTTTGTTAGGACCTGCCTTTGGTTGTCTGTTTTGCTCAAATTAATCGCTCTGATACAACATACTCATGCCATTTACTTTGGCCTTCAGTAACAAAATGGAACCGGGCTAATCCTCACTTTACTAATCCACTCAACTAAGCATTCTCAGAACATGCTGGTGTGCTTACCTTTTCTTCTCAGCAAAGATTTAGTAAAAGACAGCAAGAAGGAAAGGAATGACAAGTAAAGATAATATTACTAAGTCTTAAAATCCCTCATAAAGGCATTAATTTGAATTAAACACCAGAGAATATTATATGAGGCAGTGTCTTAGTTTATCAGTTCTTGGATCACTACAAATCCCCCAATGCATACTAATCTGCAAGAAACATGCGTATGATTAGCTAAAACCAGTTAAAGAGCTGTTGTTTGCATTTGCCCCTTAAAGTTGAAACAGCCTGGTCTGGTTTGTCCCATCGTCCCTAATTGCCGTCCCTTGCAAGGTATACAAAAACCTGAAATTCTTGGAAAATACAGAGTGATGATGAATTACATTTTCTGGACACTCCTTTTTTCTTTAATATTTGTTCAGTAAAACTTTAATTTGAAGGAATCGCTTTCCTAGATCAGTATGTAAGCATATTGGACCAAAACTTAATTTTTCTTTAATAATTGAGCTTCTTGATGGCAGATCGTCCCTTTAATCACCAGCTAATAAAATAGGAGACTGCATAAAGAGAAGGTACAAAAGAAGGAACTGAAAG